CATGAAGTGTAGTTTTACTTAATCTCTACATATTGAACAGATATCTGGGCAAGATAAATCCTCTCAGAACACCAGAACACCAATGACACCTAAGCCAAATTCTCCACCTATACTGAAGCCAACTTCGGTACATACACGAGAAATAGGTGCCTCCCGAGAGTATTCACAGTCACTAGTTTATTACAGGGTTTCAGGCAGTGTACATTCTTCTCCCATTTACCCTGAAGGTAAATTTTGATTGGGTTCGTTCTTGTTTTGGCAACTTCTTTCAGCAACATCTAATGGCTTAGTAAGCCAAGGTATCGGCAGTCGCAACTATGAATATACAAGGCGTGTATTTGGGGCTATGTTGAACAATGTTAATCGATGGGGTGGGACACATCCAATCGTGTATCCATCCTACTAATCTTTCTTGTTTTTATTTGGTCGTATTTTCTTGTTATCAGATAACAAGTAGTGACTCCTCTAGATGTAGCTTTCTACAGATTCTCCTTCGTGCTCTCATAATTAAACTGTCCTTGTTGGTTACCTGTGGACATGCACTCACTTGCAGTTCACAAGTATCATCATGGTTGTTGTCAGCTTTGATCTAATGTGACTGCAGGAGGACATGACTGTTTCTTGTAAAGTGCTTTGGTCGACCAAATGTGGAAATATAAGATAGTAGTGTGTTTCATGATTTGTAACTCTGGTTTCTCTGGCTGGTCCTTTTTTTTTTTTTTGCATGCAACTTTTTTTGTATGCTGCTTATATGCTAGTAAGATGGGTAGCATATGGAATTTTTTGTTCATATAGTTTCCTTTGGTAGTATGGTTAAAATGAGTCTATGAAGACAAGGATATATATCACATTAATGGTCCGTGGCTTTATTTTAGAAATTTGAATCATCAGTTGCTTTTCTGCAGTATATCTGTTAGAAGTTGAAGTTGATGCTAGTTGTAGCTTTTACTTATATTCTTGCAGTAAAAAAAATATTCATGGATTTTCTTGACTGATTTCTCTAACTCCACTCTCAGACCTTTTTCACTGTCCAAGTACTTATGTCAGATGTTTGTCCAGGTTATATGTTCTCCTAAACTGCTTAACTAGTTTCAACCAGATTTGACGTGTGTAATTCTTCTAAAGTGTCTGTTGCCTCAATCTAAAAATTCATACATTCTCCCAATAGAGAGGCCATAATTTAAGGCTTACCACATAGGGAAGGAAATAGCATTAGATCCTGTTATATATTCATATGGATTCTCATAGTTTCTGTTTATCGTAGGTTGATGTTTTCACTGAATATGATGTCTAGAGTGTATTAATTTTATTTTTTGTTTGATAGGTGGTACTATTTATAGGTTTACTGATGAATGTGCTAATATGATTGTTGTGATGCTCAAAGGTTTACAAATTGAGTTACATGTGCTTGCACTTGTTAATAATCCTACAAAATTTGACATTTTGGCAGATTAAATAAGAGCCAAAAATAGTAACGTGGCATAATTGATTCCATTTGCCATCCAGTTAACGTGGCTTTTGTCAAATATTTTTGAAATGGTAGTGTTAATGAATAGACTGCAAGAGTTGGATAAAATTTTTCATGCATGAAAAATTTAGTGTTAACGAATCGGTTGAATTACCTGGAAACAAATTACTTGGTGGTCTGGGAAGCTCGATCCTAGTGTTGTTTATTTTCATGCATGAAAATATCCTGGTTTAATGTTGTATTTTTGAAATTTAAAATAAAAGCAATTTTATTTTTTGGAAACAAATTGCTTGTCGTTTTGAAATTCTCACAAAACTTGATCCTAACTGAAAGTGTTGTTTGTTCTTTGGCTATTAATTATTGTAGTTTGAAAGTCTTTGTTCGTTAGAAAACCTGGCCTGATCCGCAGGCAACAAAAAATCTAGGGATAAAATTTGACGTTGGATCGAAAGAATCTAAAATCTTTTAACATGGTTTCGAAAATAATGCTAAGCATAAAGCTGGTACAGTAAATCTAGATTTTATTTTTCATAACAACATGAACGCATCCTCTGCATTGTTTGTTGCAAGCTTTATTGAGCATCTGCAAGATGATGATGAAGCCGACTTCAGTGTCTGTAGGCCCTCGTCGTGGTGACTACTCATGGCAGCTACCGGTGCTGCTAACTAATTCGGCAGGCTTGCAGCTTCATCTTTTTTGCTTTATCGTTTCAAATCGAGTCCCTCAAATCGAGTGGAGAGAGCTTATAAGAAAATAAACACAAAATCAAAAAATATTTTGTGCCTTTCGAATATAAATTATTTTACAGTAAATTTGAGTCGGCAACAGGCTTTTCAAATCGATCAATGCGATAAAAGTAAAAAATTTGACAAAAGGTCAAGAAACGAGGTGAAACAGATGAAAAGCTTATCAATCGCATCGACGACGATCAAAATTTGCAACAACAATTGAAATATCTGTTTACTGTCATGAAGAGACAGCAATTGAAATTAAGAATCACGCGCAATAACAATTAAATATCATAAAGAGTTTACAAAGAAAAGAAAACTCGGAGTAAGAAAGAAATAGAACCATTTTATAGAAATAAAATTGCACGCCATCATCATGTATTATTGTTGCAACAATTGATTATAAAAGTAGTAAGAAAGATTGACTGCCATATAAAATACAATAAACTAAGCACGTAGGTTAGAAATATCATCAATTGCTTTACAACAAAAGTCCCCTGGTCCTTACATTAGAATTATGTTTATGATCTGAGAAATTGTGTAGCCAGATTATATTATGGTATTTTTACCAAACAAGATGGTTTCAAATGCATACCAATCTGGATGATGGACGCTATTATGATATTGTTCAGAGATTATAATTATGTAGAACAAAACTAAATATCCAACAAAATGATTTCCCACCAAATTATCTTGAATAAAGCTCTAAGTTTGTTGATGCCCGATGAAACGAAAAGGGACGGGCCACGTTTAATAAAAATTTAAAAAGGAAAAACAACGGTGAATCCTCATGAAAATAATGGACAATAAAATTCCATATACAGCATACAAAACAATATCAACAGCTTGATGACGAGTTCAAACAAGATCATCCATAATAAATTCTCGTAATAAAAAATATGATTAAAAAAAGTTAAAATCCTCTAAACATTCTGAAAACTCACAGTGAACAAAGAGGAAAAAAAAATCACGAGGCATCATGAATTATCGAATTACAACATATAAGAATTTGCAACAGGAGACCAAAGCCTCCAAGAAAACAGACTGGAAGATACAACCCGAGAAACCAAACAACAACATTTCCATTTACCAATTCAATTCAAGCAATGTGGAACCAAAGGAACCCGCCCCCCCCCCCCAAATCCATCATGAAAACAGGCCTACAGATAAACATCCAAGAGAGCATCCAGAAATAATATATCAAGGAGCTGATGTTGTTTAGATTAAAGCCTAATATTGACCAAAATATCACCAGAAAAAAAAAAATAAAGACATGGAATCTCGACTTGGGGAATCGTGAATGTAACAAGAGGTCACCACAACGTTCCAACAATTCATGTAAATAGATCAAACCTTTAGAAACCTAAATAAATTCAAGAAACGGAGGAAACACAACCTTTGCCCAATTGGAGATTAAGTGAAAATTGATCATAACAAAATAGTCTAACAAATTAGTGTGAATAGGAGAAAATAGATTTAAATATCAAGACCCTATAAATCAAAAGAAAGAACAAGAAACCAATGTCATGACTACACTATTCACCGACTAGATTCAGTACCACCGAATCAAGGACTTATGTGTGGGAGAAACCGCCAAAGCCTTCAAGCAATCAAAGGAAAATAGATCTAGAGTTCAAAATTCTAGAAATCAAATTGTAGGTTTACTGACTAAACCCGTTCGAGAAACCAACCACATCATAACCGCCATCATCAAATTGTTCACGGACTAAACCCAGCCTCGAATCAAGGAATTCCGAAGGCGAGAAATCGCCAAAATCTTCAAGAAATTCAAGAAAAAACGGATCTAGAGATAAGACTATAAATAAGAAAAAGACAAACCAAGAAACCGACGACACCACTGCTAAGAACCACCACTTGTATCACCGATTTCACGATTCACTGATCAAACCCAATCCTAAATTAAGGAGTTCCGACCGGGAGAGAACGCCGAAGCTTCGGAAGATACAGATCCAGAGATCAACACCCTGGAATCTAAGGGAAAGCCAAGAAACGAATGACACCACTTCCCGGTATCATCCAATTCCAAGTTCATCGATCAAACCCGGTCCCATATTTACAATTTCAAAAAACAGAAATCGACAAAGAACGTTCAGTCAATTCATGAAAACATATCTAGAGACCAAGAACCTACAAAACAACACAACGACACCACATCAAAGAACCTACACAAGTACCATTGAACTTATGATTCAACGACCAAGATTAACCAAAGAATCTATATAAAGAGACACGATCTCAATGTGATGGAGCATAAACCCAGTCCCATATTAAGGATTTGCCCACAACAGAAATCGCCAAAGAGCCTTCAAACACTTAAAGAAAATAGATCCAGAGATTAAAAACCTAGAAATCAAATGCAAAGAAAACAACAACACCACGTCGAGAACCCAACACAAATATCATCAAACTTACGTCTCACGACCAAGATTGACCAAAGAATCACCAAAAGAAACATGATCTCAATATGATGGAGCCGAAGATATCAGAAATAACCTTTTGATGGAGCAAAAGAGATCCGGGCGACCGATTGCCACATCCGAGAGGGAGGAAATCGTAGAAATCAGGGTGGGATGAAGCGGAGGCTTCCATCAGGATCAAATTCTTGGATCGGCTGCGATCTCGATCGCCATCCCCATCTCTCACCCTATATATGGAGAAGGAATGTTAGTTACAAGGATCGCCTTCTCTCTCTCTCCCCTCCCTCATATATATATATATATATATATATAGAGAGAGAGAGAGAGAGGAATGTTAGTTACAAGAACAAAAGGTCGACCTGACGGGATGCGACCCGTTTAGGATGATCCGTTTATGTTAACGGGTTGGATTCCGAACAAGGGTACATTCTACGACCTGCTAATTCGATCCAAACCAACCCAATCCACTAATTATACGGGTCGGATCCACATCCACAAGTCCCGTGTCTTAAACGTTGTCTTTACCAACTCCATCGAAAGTATGCCTATGGTTGATAAACTTGTAATTTATGGTGACAGATTAAAACCTTAACATCGACAATGAATGCTGGCTGAACTAAGAATCCTGTGCAAACGTTTGTCATTTCCAGTATGGCTTTTACTCTGTGGTTTCACCTCATCACTTTGTAATGTGTAACCTCATGAAGGATCATTGAGGGCGTTTTCCAAAGGGATCTGCACAATTTCGATCAAAATCTTGTTCAGTGTCTGTGGCTTTGAGAAGAAGGGGCAGTGGTCGCTGCCTTTGATCTTGTACATGCCATGAGGGGGGTTTTCACGGACCAATCTCTCTTGGACATCGAGCGAGAGAATGTGATCGTCGAGCGTCTGGATGAAGTATCGTCGGACCGTGCCGTAGTTCTCTGTGGTGAGGGAGAGCTTCTCCATGATTGGAGCCAGCGGGATGGGTCTCATTGATACCGTGGCCAAAGCAACATCCTGCAGTAATCATCATGCTAATTAACTTGAAGCCATTAAACTAGAAATGGTGATATTGCTTGTATATATAAATGTCAAACAGTTACAATGAACACTAAATCTCTTCAAAATGTCTTAATATGAAAGCTAGTCTTTGTCAATCGATATTACTGGATTATGAAATGATGATATTGAATTGAATGTCAACCAGCTTATATATTGCATGACATGCAAGAGTATGATGACATATTTTTAGTTTTACTGTATGAAAAAAGATGAATGCATGAGATAGGAGTCCAGAATTAGGTTGTAGATGTATATCTTTGTCACAAACACCATTTCCATTATCCACAACCTATGGAAAGACCCCAAGTATATAAGCTTTCAGAAGCTATAACAAGATCCAACACCTGGGAATAAACTTCTTATTCTTCAAACTCATTGGAAAAATAACATTATTATAGAATCTCTAGATGTTCTTATGATTATAAGCTTCTTTGATAAAGCACATCTATGCAGAAGGGATACAGATAAGCTAACCCAATGTTTGATACTAATCTGAGATTTCATATATTGGCTACCTCTTGGATGTAGTCCTCTATTTCACATCCACAAACAGATAGGTGAAATAATGTATCTTTCGAGTGTCAACAACACTTAGGAAGATGGAAAACTATTCACTTGAATTTGAAGCCTTTGAAGGTCATATGTAATTATTTAAATTGATCTAATCTAAGCTAAAAGTGATCAGACACAATATTTTTATTTTTCATAAAAAGTAAGCGATGAATGTGGGATTCGAAGACCTTGTAATCAACTGTCAAATTCTTTACCAACTAAATTACTTAGCACACACAAAGTTAATGAAAAAAAAAAAAAAAAATCAATGAGTATGAATAGCAACATGACCATTTAGATACCTTGGCTTTCAAATAAAATATTCTGAAACATTGTGTTGATTTTCAGATTGGATGAAAAAATTCTATGTTCAGGGTTCAAGAGAGATAGAATCTAAAAGCAAAGGTATTACCAACATTAAGAGGAATAATTTTTCAAGTGTTAGCATCAATTCTGACCTTTGGTGGACTCTGGTTGAAATATAGTGCCCTGATTTGTTGTTTGTCAAACATGATGCTGGTAGGAGGTTTATCTCTTCCATTTCCATACACTAGAAATTGTGACTCTTGCAAAAAAAGATCCGCAGATGCTAGCTGTCGAACATGCCAAACAAAGTATCTCAAGTGTGACTTAGAAAAATATGCTCCAAAATGCATACCGAAAGATAATAATGTCATACATCCATCATATTCATTTTTTGCAAACTTCTACAAGTATGTACTTACTTCCTCCGAAAATACATCGAAAGGTTTCTGCCCATTCAATACCATTGTGGCACACACATATACTGCTTTTGATACCTTTCTTGGATAGCTTTCTAGAGCATATGAAACAATCGCACCTCCACAACTATGACCAACCAAAATAACCTGCACAAACGTACATGGCGAACTATCAATTCTCACATTCAAAAAACACACAGACAAATGTATTCCATGCCAACTTTTCACCTTCTCATCGTCTGGAAGGCTTTGAAGGCAAGTGATGAGGGGCCTTGCATAATCCTCCAAGGATGTGGTGCTATTGATATCTGTTTGATCTATGCCAGAACCTGTGAGATCTAAAGCAACAGGAAGTAGTCCTGATTCCTCCAAAAGAGACATGGTCTTGTACCAACACCATGCCCCAAATCCTTCTCCATGTACTAGAATAATTTTCCTTGTTTCAAGATTCTCTAGAAAAGCAGGAGGCTGAAAGTATAATTAATAAAAAAAAGTATAAAAAAAATTATATTTATCACTTTCATCACATTTTGACATGTATTTGACAAGAGGGGGAGGCATCAAGCAGCAACCATGTAAGAGAGTCTATAATGACTCAAGAGCAAAAGAAGCATCTCTTATATTCAGCAATTCAAAGAAAAATGCATTTTCCAGCTTGCTTAAGCTGATACTGGAAGAAGCATAAAGGATAAGTAAAGAGGTGGAATATCATTTTATGTTTTTTATATCGATGCAGCAATTTCATCTTGAAAGGTTAAGACCTTTAGATTCCTAGTAGTGTAAGAGCAGAGTTATAGATCAGTGATAGTATCTCGATAACCATTAGTGTGTACCATGACCAAGAGAGGAAGGGTCTGCCTTTGGTAAGTATAAGCCAATGATTTAACTAGTGTATTATTCATCACATACGACAGGTAATAGGCTGAGATTTAAGAGCACTACTTCACTTGTAGTCAACTTTAACCAAGGAGTCGGTAACCGCATCAAAAAAGTTTCCTATGTTGTCATTAAGGAGTTTGGTCAAATTTTAAAAATGTACCAATTCAATGGTGAATTTCACTTTGAGCATCAAAACATAGAAAGATATCAACATGTACTCACAAAGTTGGGATTAGGTCATCAAGAGATTAATGTTCAATTTTGAGTTAAAAACTAGTTACAACTTCACAAAAACATAGTCAGTTTTAGTGATAATACAGTCTTTTATGCTTCAAAATGCATCCATCTGTTTTTAGTGATGATACAGTCATCACTAAAATTTTGTGTGATGCTCTCAGGTATTTTTTTTGTGATATTATTCAGATGGGAAAGGTTAGCAATTCACTCTATACTTCTTAATTGAGGTTCAAAATCATGCACACATGCAACACTAAAATCAAATTCTACTTCTCCAACTATTGCTAAGAACACAGCAGCAAAAAAAATCCTACTACTATTAAATTGACATAAAAATCCGGGGAAAAAAACACGAGAAAGATGCAGTGTAGGATTACCAGCTTTCCATTTGTGACAGAATCAGGAAGGTCCCTTCTTCGAGAACTCGTGGAACCAATCCTGCGAGACATCGATCCATCGAAGCGTCGAGACAACTGGTGCTGGTGAATTGCCATCGCTAGGGCCTGGTGGTGCAATAGCTCGTCCTCGGATGCCGCCGTCTTCCTCTGTGATCTCGAGTTGGAACCCCTCCTGCTACGAGACCCGATGCCGCCTCTGAGGTCTTTCTTTGGCAAGCAAGCCAATCCATTCCCCATGTACTCGTTTCCCCCAATTCCAACGACTATTAGCCAAGAATTTAGGATGTGTTGACCGATAAAAACAGATCGAAATAGGAATTGCTAGGTCAAAGAAGCGAGATTGGTGTCTCGGTTCCGAAGAAGGGAAGCATAAACGACACGGAATTCCACGAAAAAACGATGATATGTAACCAATATTCGATCTCGATGCTATCCTCACAAGGAATCCTGCAACAAATAGCAAAAGAACAAGAACAAATCTTCAAAAAATAGAAGAAAATACTCCAAAATTTTCCACTAAATCCCGTCGAGAAAGCGGGCGGAGGAGTCTTTCGGGATGCGAGCCGAGTTCGCCCATCTTCTCCTTTCTCCGGCGCTCGGCTGGTGTGCTCTTGTAGGTTTGGTCATCTGCATCAAGCTCCGATATTTAATGGCGTTATGGAGCCATCATCGACTAAAGAATTGGATAATTTGGATTGCTACAAGCTGGAAATGATGGGATGATGACAAGCTCGAGGAATCTGCCATGGCGCCAAACCTGCTTCTTGAAGGGGATTTGTCCCGTAGCTAAGTATGAGGCAACAGAACGGATTCGCGGATTTTTCTTAAATAATGAAATTATATTTATATTTATTCCTTTGAATTTATATATAGCGGTGAAATTATATTTATATTTATTCCTTTGAATTTATATATAGCATATCAAAAATAAATAAATAAAAACTAACTAACTTTAGGGCGATTTTTTTAGGAAATAAAAAAACTAATAAAATTTTTTATCATATTTTTATAATATTTATAGTATTTTATTTATATCTTAAAAATATTATAAATTATATTGAAAAAAACTGTATGTGATATTATATCATGCTTTTCTATTGTCATTGCTCATTGAGCATTATAATACTATATTTTTTAGGTTTATAGTTAGTTTGATTGAGATTAGGAGTCCATTTAGATCATTTATAATGTTTTTGAGTAAATTTTATAGTATTTTTATTATGATAGTCAAAAACACTATAACAAACAAAAGCATTATAAAAAGTGAAAAAAAAAATTTGAGGGATAATTTAAGTATTTTTAAAATTAAGGATATTTTTTTAAAAAAATAAAATAAAAATATCAAGTAAGAAAAACCTACAATATAGATATTTTCTAGAAAAATTGCCCAAAACTTTATATCTAAAACACTAGCATAATAGTGATATATGTGATTCAATTACCTTGTTCATAATAGTGATATATGTGATTCATAATAGTGATATAAGTCTTAAATTTGACTCGTTCTATTTCCATACACAAAAATTATTACTTGAGTTCTTACAAGGCCTCAATTTGAGCTGTTCACTTCCCATACCAACCCATAAAAAATATATATATATATATATCTCACTTTAGATTTTAAATATCTAAAACATTTGATAACATATTAATATTTTTATGATAATATGTTATTTTTTTTATTATGGTATAACATTTTTATTGATAGGAGACATTGGAGATTGTTTATATTTTATATCATAGAACTTTGAATAATTAGGATATTTTGAGTTCTTGTTATCATAATATTAGTAGTATAATAGACTTGCATAATTGATTATAATTATCTTTATTATATTATATTATATTTTATTTTATAATGATTTGATGGGCCAATCCAAATCGGAGATAAACAGGTTCTCAAATTTGGTGATCTTGTTGGTGGTACTACGACAATAGGAATCTTAATAGCTCCAATTATTTTCTCCATCATTGCAAGCAATAGCAATAGCAATTGCTTGCCTACAAAATTCATGGGCTCCTAATCTTATGTGCATTATAAGGTCGGAGACAGATAAGACATAACCCATCTTATCTCTAATTTACATCTTTCTTTTAGCTGCCATCTCTCATTCCATAACATTTTTTTGAAGTTACTTATCTTTACTCCAAATTCAAAGTTATTTAATTATAGATAAAATTAGCACATGATTATATATATATATATATATATATATATATATAATAGTTATTATGTATGAAACAAATAAATAAATAAATTATCGATAGCAAAATCTTGATATTCTTTTCATTGGAAAATGTCATGTCTCCCTTATTATTATTTTTATTCCTTTTGTTCCCTAAACTACTATTCCTATATAATAACATAATTTACGTTATTCTTTTGATATAATTTAATCTTCATTGCAGATTTGTTCCCTAAACACATCACAGACAAGTGATGCTACCAATTAATCGAGGAACTCTACATGAAATCAACGAGGAGGAACCTTCTTAACGTTGCTTATATCACTGGCTCAGAAGGCCCGAAAGGGCAAAGATGAAGCCATCGCTTCATTTTCAACTCCAAAGGTCAAACAAAACGTGTGACACAAACCAAAATTTTCTCGACCGATGGAGTGAAAAGAGAGAGACATCTGCAATAATATTCCAAGAGGGACCATCTCCTTTCACTCTCGCCTCAAGCGGAAGACTCTAATCCTTTGGAAAAGTCTTGTGTTCTTGGTTTTTTTAGGCTTTTGAGAAGTTACATAAGGATGTCTGTCATCAAGGGGAAAAAGTGGCTCACGATGTGCGAGAGGTCGTCAACATGACAACCCAAAAGTCCATCTGAACCTGAAAGCCAAAGAAAAGAGGAACAAAAGACAACAGCTGAATTGTTTACAACTTGGCATATACGAAAACACTTTAGCGAGAAACCTGCAGACGAGACAAGATAGTATTATAATATGACTCTCCATTTGCTCAAAGACCTGAGAGCCCAAAACCGAAAAAAGTGGGTCGATGCAAACCCATTAGGTCCAGATGAAACTGCAAATTCCTATGAGCGAGAGTTGGGGAGGGAAGGAAGGAAGGAAGGAAAGAAGGAAGCAGATAGAGAGAGTATATAGTAAGATGATGCAAGAAACACGACACCATTAGAATCCAAGGAGCCTCTTGCATGCCCTTAGGAACTTTCCCTTGTTCTTCTTCTTCTTCTTCCTGGAATACCTCATCTGCTGCTCCTCCTCCAGTAAGTCAGCACCGCCATCTTCGTCACCAGTGTCATGGATCCTCCAGTAGCCCTCTCTGACCGAGGAGGACCTCCTCATGGAGAAGGCCCTCATGACCGCACTCTGAAGGCCAGTGGAGCCATTAGAGAACCTCTGAGAGGCAGAGGAGCAGGTCCTGCTGAGTATCACCCCAAACCTCTGCCCGCCTTCCTCCTCCTCCTCCTCCTCCTCCTGCTGCTGCTGCAGCCACGAGAAGTGGTCGACAGGCTTGATGACATCAGCAGCTTCTTTTTGTTGAGGCTCCTCTGGGGCTTCTTTCGGTGGGGGAGAGAAGAAGGTGGGATCTGAGAACTCCATGGATCTTGACTTGGCCGTGGAGCCCGTGACCACTCCCATCCTGGAGTATCCACCCATGTCGCTCGCTGCAAGGAGTGATGTTGTGGCTTCAAATCACAGTGTGGTGGAAGACGGTCAGAGGAGACATGGAAGTCGAGCAGGAACAGTCGTCATAGATCTGGAAGTGGCAGTGGCGTTTTGGGTGGTGCAAAAGTGTGGGGATGAGGAAAGAGTGATGGTGGTTTGGAGTAGGAAATGTGGGAGACTGGAACGTGCAGTAGACTCTAGGTTATAAAACCGAGAGATGGACCGAGTCGCATCGTTTTGCTTGGAAACACGGTGGTCAATATATACACAGATATGTGCGCGCACGCGCGTGGAATGATGGATCTGCATCGTTTTGCTTTAAGATGCGTGCATAAACTTGATCGATCGATCGATCAATCGATCGATGATCTTAAATTTTAGGCCAGATGGCGATGATGATGACGATTATTATTATTATTATTATTATTATTATTATTATTATTATTATTATATAATACAAATAATAAGATGGCGAAGACAAAATTTGATTCATTATTTATATAATATGAGAAGATGATAAACACGTTAAATGACCTGAATCTGGATTAACACTAAGATTAGATGGATAAGGTATATATATTATCACCAAATTATATATATATATATATATATATATATATATATATATATATATATATATTAAGTAGCTAAGATTTGTGGAATGAGGATTTGATTGAGCAACTAATGAAATCGAGTACAATCATTATTAGATCAATTATTTAGGCGTACTAAAAATGTGTAGATTGAGATTTGAAATGTATAAGATAAAGTCGATCACCAAATCAATTATTTGTACTATTTCATGCATGCCAATCTGCTCGAACAGACGTGTCCGGAATACAAATCCGAGCAGAGGGCGCCAAGTAATGACGCGTGAACGGCCCCCACACCATCGGCACCGACTTAGCGCACCACCCGATGATTCGTGACGGAAGTCGTCGGTGGAGTCTCGGAGAGCAGTGATAGGTGTTTGTGGAAATGCGGGAGGTGTTTGTGGCACCGCATCACGACACCGGGGTGGTCGGTTGTCGAAGCACGAGCTCCACAGGCATTAGATGCGAGGCGATGCAGGTTAACGTGGGCAGAGACGAGCGTGGCCACATGCTCTTCTCCTCTCTTGTCCCCATTGTTGACCACCTGCGCAGATGGAGATGGAGATGGAGATCTTTTATTCTGTTTATCCTTCTCTATGCATAAAGAGAACGGATCGAGACGACTGTTGGAACTTTGACTGGATGCCATCAATTGCATCACAAATCTTTTTGTTGGAGCTGAAGTTATAATAAAAACAACATAAATTGCTTTCATTGAGATTTGAACTCAAGACCTCCCGCTTACTAAACGGGTGCTCTAACCAACTGAGCTATGAAAGCTATATTTATATTCATATTAAAAAGAAATATTATTACTAGATACGCTTTTCGAAACTCGATTTATTAACCTTTGCCTTTGTTGGCCATCTAAATTGTAACAATAACAATAATAAAATCAAAACTTAAGATCGATATTTAGAATAAATAAATAAATTATATATATTATAAAAATAATTTTTACGATATAATCAAATATAATGATATAAGTAAATACACTTTAGGATCTTAATTATTAAAAATTTACCTATTAAAATGAAACGTAAGATAAATATTTTAGACATAAAAATAAAATTATAGATCAAAATTTTGTACGATATGACCTTTGAGTGTTTGTCTTTTAATAAACGAGTCTAGTAAAAAGAATCATTAAAACAAGAGTATATCTCATCCATCCACTTGGAAGCACACAACATTGTGATAAGTTATTGGATGAAACAATTTAAAGCATGTTGGGATCTTAATTTTGTTTTCAAATATTTTAAGAGAGAACAATTTCAAGCATCACAAACAAACTTCCACTTGACAACAATTCAAAACATCAAAGATTTGATAAAGCAATAGAAACTTGACCAAACACAAAAGAACTACTTTGAATAGAATCAAACTCCAGCAAATTCATCAAGAAACTGATGTGGAGATCCACAATTCTATGGATGAACTGTTCATCTGACGTTTCAAGCAACATTCTGTGTCTTCAAGCTTTGAGCTTTCCGTAAAACTTTTCCTTCTCTTCGGTGGTCTGGAAGCGGCCATGCCCGAACTTGGAAGACGTGTCGACGAACTTGAGCTTGATCTCTTCCATTGCGACTCGTGATGTCTGCTTCAGCAACGACTGCCTCAGGGTCACTACCCTCTTCTTAGGACCAACACAGCATCCCTTGATCAGAAGGTAATCATCCTTGACCACTCCATAATGTGGAAACCCTCCCATTGGTGTTATCCCCTTCTCAGTCCTGCAAGAACCATCAACATCAGCCAACAGAAGGATGAACATAAAAGCATGAAGAATATTAAATATCTCATCAGAGCACCCCATAAACTACTTGATTCAATTCTAAATTAAACAGATGAATCTTTTCTGGAATTTATGATTGCTATCCATAGATATATAAACTATAAGAGAAAGATGCAGCAAGTCCAAAGTACAGCATGGCGTTAACCTGTCAAACTCTGTGGTTGCCAAGTGAGACTCCTCACCAGCCTTTCCAAGCTTATATATCTTCTTATTCATCTCGGTACGATGGTGGTAACCATTCTGGCCAGCCCTGGCAACTGTGTATGAGACCCTAGCTGGGTGCCATGCACCAATACAAGCCACCTTGCGCAGGCCACGATGGGTCTTCCGAGGGAGACGAGTGACACCCCAACGAGTAACCACGCCCTCATAGCCCTTACCCTTTGTGACTCCTATGATGTCAATCATCTCATCCTTCTGAAAGACAGCATCCACAGGAATCTGTTTCTCAAAGAATTTGTAAGCATAGTCAACCTTTGCAGCAATATCTCCTCCATTAACCTGGATCTCCATCAGGTGAGCCTTCTTCTGCTTCAACCCTTTTAGTTTTCTAATCTGTAAACGAAAACACAAGTCGCTTCAGGCAAGTTTCAGTATGCAAACTGAGAAGAACAGAAAGAAAGACCAAAATGAAGATCTTGAACTAACTGATCATAGCCCAAAAGGATAAACAGGTTATATTGCAAATACAAATTCTATGCACCAACATAGAGCACCACAATAATCACATTAAAATATTATTTAACAATGTGGACAAAAACAGAATAAGATGGATGTCTGTATTCTAAAATTGTTGGTGAAATTTTAAACATAAATATCATGAATCCGGTTGATGCAGTCAGTAGGTCACAGCAAAGATTAATCACAGTCTAGCAAAAGTTTCATAGGAAACAATATTTTTTAACTTATAAGAATAGAAAATTGGTGATACAAAACATAACAAGTAACATCAGTAGGCATATCTTTGCTTTACTGGTTGGACCCACCAGGTAACCAACAAAAAGAGTGATACAAGGAAGAAAAGGATAAGCATATATCAATACCTGTGTGTGAGCCAAAACACGAATTACAGAGGCATACTTCTTCATCTTCTCCAGCTGTGCCTGGATTTCTTTTTTGCCTTCCTCAGTTTCATACTTCTTTGAGTACTTAACAAACGCCTTCTTCTTTGACTTGGACCAGTTTTTGTAAAATCTCCTTTTCACTTCCTCACTAAGATGCTGAGCCCAAACAGTGTTCAATGACCGGAGGCCACGGGGAGTCTTCACATAAGCAACAACGCCAACTACAACCATTGGGGGTGCTTCAATGATTGTCACTGCTTCACAAGTCTCCTTCTTATGAAGCTCTGCATAGACAAATGGAATTACAAAAAAAGGTGGAAAAATTGTTCCAAACATAACAACACAATTTGCAAAGATCAAATGTATTCTCTTCCTAATGTAAGTTATTAGGCCAAATGTATTAATAAAATGCATACCTTGATATAAAAGCCAATGGAAACTTAACTATACAACTTCATGTACCATGATCAGAGAAATGCCAAATAAGTGCTGCTGCAGCCTTTCTTGATAGTTGTTGATGTGTAGTTATTCTATATAAAAAAAGTTTTAACTACCTTCAATTTTAGTGGTTGATGTGTAGCTTATTACTTTTCTAAACTTTACCATTAACAAATCCAAGGAGATGATACATGAGACTGAATACATACTTTGTAATCTAAGCCAAGGGAAATTAAAATATGAAGTGAACCCAGATTCAAGTCAAGGACATACTATCAGAAGTACTAGATTATTCAGTTCCAATGACATTAATTTTTATTATTACACCAGCGGAAGCATAATAGAGCATGCATTTATTAAAAGAAAAAAGTAATGTGTCCTTTCAGTGTCATTGTGTATTGTAAGGCATCAGTATTAAAAAAACAAAAAGCAACTTACTGGATCCAGGCTTATCAACCTCCCGGACTATGTGAGTCATCCCAGACTTGTATGCTACAAAGGCAGTTAGCCCGGGCAGCTTGCTTGGGTCATCCTTTGGGAATGACTTCACTGCATCAAATATACGGCAACAAAAAAAATATATCAAAACCTGAAGTCTGGTATATGATGAAGGGTTTATTGGTTACAGCCACTTGCACATTTAGATACATGATAAAGGGAATGATACAAAATTTGATGATCACGTCTTGTTTAAACATATAAACAACTCAGCTGTCAAAGGGTCTACAGCATCAGTTTGGACACTATGATTAACAACTAAAAACATTATGTCAATGAAGATTATTTACACACAATCTGTGACCAATCAAATAAAAAATGTACCCTGAGGAAGCATATTGAGAACATGACAAAGTGAACCACAAGCATGTGCATCTTATTGATAGCATATTGCGAAAAATAAAAATAAACATCAAACTACAAAGAGACAAGATGTACTAAAACAAAGAATCGTACTAATCAAATGGACTGCTCCTTTGGAGCATGAATGCTTAAGACAAGAAATTTGAAGAAACTTGAATTATAAGCTGAAACCTTTTCCTCTGTGACGGGAGGCTCTTTTTCTAGGAAGGAACCCAAGAGAACCATGACGCGGATGCTCAAATTTGCGATGAGACATTGTGTCTTTAGTCCTTCACAACTATGCAACTATAACAATTCAAGTATCTTTTCATGAGAACTTACACATTTTAAAGCCAAATAAAATATACAACAAATGGAGCATAAGTTCACTAAACTAGAAGAACTATATATATATATATATATATATATTTCAAAATTTAAAAAATGTAGCATTTAAACAAACAAAAGAATTATAAACAATCCAACTCTTACTAAGAATTAGCATTAAGATCAATTGGAAAACAAGACAGATATCATAGAAGCCAGCAAGCTAAAAACAAGCATCTAACAATAATAAAATAGTCACAATTGCATAATGCAAGATTCAAGAAAGTAGGATTACATAAGCAAACAGGATGACACTGAGGGAAAAAGTTTTTGCCTGAACTTAACCTAGAAAGAGCAAATTTTATTTAAAAATACAGTTTTAGCATTTGCAAATGTTCTGAAACCATCATTTTTGCGTCCTCAACGACATCATGCAAAGATATTTATATGTTAGATAGGGAATTGTCATCTATGAGTAACTAGCAGAGTAACCTTAACTGAAAAGCATCAGTGAGAACGACCAGCTCAAGTAACATGGCATAATAATCCCCCGCAACCAAAGGCCTATGGCACTGATAGATGCCAATTCTCATGCTCTCTGGTATGCCTTTCCAATTCCCCACAATGGGTTTTGGCAGAAAGAGCTCTTAAGAGACTCCGACCTTGATTCAATATAGCGTTGTTTTGGGGGGACTAATCTTGCCAATACCAGAAGTGGAGGTATACTAATGCTCCACAGAAGGCCATCATGCATGTTACCCACAAAATCACAGGAATGCCCCAAGCATCCATGACACATTAAATCAAATGATTACTGAAACAAATAGTCAATAAATCAACTATGACAGCATCAAAACAAGATTACTTTTTTCGTTAACATGATAATAAATCACAACTAAGAAGAATTTAATTGGCATCTCACTTTGCTCCATCATGAAGTAAATAATATATATAAATCATACTAAAAATAAACAAGAAACCAAGATTATAATGATAAAACATAATGATTGTAAACAATATATAAACAAAGAAAAAAAACAAAAAAACTTTATTAATCAATCAAAACCGGTAAATAGCATACCATTAAAGCTTATATGATCAGATCGATGAACCGCGAACGCTTTATAAATCATACCACAAAACTGTTAAAGTTCTATTTAATTCCAGAAAAAATAATTACGATCGAAGAGCACCGCGCAAAATACAGATTTGCGAGGAGAAACGACCAAGCAGGAGAGATTCGAGAGGCCAGATCTGAATCGGGCAAGAAAAGGGAGGATATTACCTCGATCGCCAGAGGTCGTAAAGAGAGGAGCACGCAAAGCAAAAACGGCCGACTGAAACCCTACCGAAATGGACGAATATAAAGGAAAATTGACGGCCGAGATTAGGCGTCCTATGTTTCGAATCAGCCCGCATGGAAAACCCTGGAGCTTAGTGAAATGGACGGCGTCGATTGGTGTTCTGTGTTCCGATCAACGGCATGGGGAACCCTAGAGATCGTGTGTCTGTGTATATGTACACGTGGCAAGATGAACGGCCGAGACTGGTCTTCTACGTTAGTATTCGATTAGCATGTTTAATATAATAATATTTTTACTAGAAATTGATTTTAAAGTAGAAAACAGCAGCCATTGTAATATTATTTTTATGCTTGCATAAAAATATTTACAAATAATAAAGAAATCAGTTAAAGGACAAAAACATGGGAAAAAAGATAGTGGAGTGATTTTGCTACAACTTGCAATAAATAAAAATTTATGGTAGATAATTTTTTTTAATTTTTATATTATTATATATTTTTACTAAAAATTAAAAATATATTTTTATTGCATTAAATTATGTATATGATACTTATACATGGATTTGAACATACCACTTATCACTTTGTGAAATAATATAATAATCAAATTAAATATTTTAATAGAGATAATTTTAATTATTATATTAAACGATATAAAAGATGCATTCATAAGCATATTGAACACTAGAATATTTATTAAAGGGCATAGATTCATTGAATAGTTTAGAGTAAAGATAGATATTGGATAAGATGTGTGTTCACATTTCTCTTTTATATAAATATTTTAAATATAAAATTTATATATATGTATACATAACAAAACTAATAAAATAATTTAAAATATACTGTGACATATTATTTGAGTAACAATTATCTAAAAAAATATATAAATTGACTTTTGAATCAATTCAAAAATATATTGTTAATATAATTTTGATATTGTTAATATAAATTTTTTTTAAAAAAAAATAGTACTAATGATTCTAAGATGATTAATATCAATTTTTATTTTATAAAATAATAATTATTAATTATTGATTTTTTTCAGTAAAAGACTGAGAGTATTTTCGTCCAAATAAAAAAAAACCAATCCTAGATAATAATAATAATAATAATAATAAAGAACATGAGGGTGCAATCCGATAATTATAGTAAAATGTAAAGTTTCAAAAGAAAATAGTAGAAAAAGAAAATGTAGGGAAAAAAAAGAAAAGAAAACCACCGGCCTTCGAATAGTCAACGAAACTTCATGGCCTGAACTCACTTGCCACTTTCCAACATTGCTTGCAAATGCTTAGATCGAGTAAAGCTACTCCTCAAATTCTGATCCTCTTTCTCTGTTGCTGCTGCAGACTTTGCCAGGATCTAATGTAGAGACTTTGGTGGAGCTGACAAATCCTTGAGTCCTCACGGATCTCACCAAAAGAAGACAAATCCAAGTGTTCATAAGCTTCCCTTGCTCTTTCAACCTGCTACAGGTGTCTCAGTTCATCATGCACTCAATCTGAGTCTTCTCCTCCTCCCATCTCTCTCTCTCTCTCACAAGTTACCATGAGATCCTCTGCCACCCATCAATGTCTCCTTCAAATGCCACCGAACCCTTCTTCTTCCTACTGCTTCTAGTCCTTCTGTGCCTCCCGGCCGCCGCTTCACCTTTCTCCACCGTCGCCATCTCGCAGTCGTCCAATGTCACCATCGTCTGCGCGCTCGTGCCGTCGCCCGTGGCCTACCGGTACGAACTGAATTGCACCAGCGCCTGCACCCGCGAGCAGCGGTGGTACCCGGCCGGCCGCACGCCTTACGCCGCGGTCGCCGCGGGCAATGGCTTCCTCTGCGGCCTCACCCTGCCAGCCGACCGCTCCAACGCTACCATGCGGTGGTGGGCGCTCCCCGCCCATGGATACGAGGACTACGAGAAGCAGATCTACCGGGGGCCGTCGCTCGCCGCGCTCGCCTCCGGCGACACGCACGTCTGCGCCCTGATCGGCGGCTCGCGCCGGCCGCATTGCTGGCGGTGGGGCGATATGGTCATCCCCGAAGGTTTGAACCTCTCCGAGATCGCCGTCGGGCGGGACTTCGTCTGCGGGCGACTCGGCTGCGGGGCGATCCGCTGCTTCGGGAACGACACGGCAGTCGTCGGGAGGGAGCCGAACGGGAGCTTCAGCATGGTCGCCGCAGGGACCCGACACGCCTGCGGCGCCTCCTCCGACGGCCGCCAGCTGACCTGCTGGGGCGAGGAGGCGCCGCAAGTGGATTCGAATCTCACCCTCGACATCGTCTCCATGGCTTTGGGGGAGAGCAAGACCTGCGTCCTGCAGTCAAACGGAACAGTCCTGTGCTGGGGGGAGGGCTCCCGGCCGCCGGACTCCCTCGCCGGCGAGCAATTCGTCGCAATCCAGGGCAGGGGCGACGCCATCTGCGGCATTTTGGCGATCAACTTCTCGGTGGTTTGCTGGGGGAACGAGCTGTTCCGGCGGAACCACACCATCTACCGCAGCGTCCTGCCCGGGACCTGCTCGCCGATCTCGAGCTGTGGCTGCGGGGTGCTGCCGGGCTCCGGCACCATGTGCCCCTCCGACGAGGGCATCTGCCAGTCCTGCAAGTTCCAACTCAGCTCCAACTCCTCCAATAGCTCGCCATCATCGCAACAAGCAAGCAGTGGTAGCAAAAGGAGAACACTGTTGTTGGTGCTAGGCACGGTGGGACTCGGCTTGGGCTTGTTGGCCTTATCGAGCTTCCTTGTCTATCTCGCTCTCAAGAGCCAGAGAAGTGGTCGGGTTCACCGCACGGTGTGGTGGAGACGATGGAGGCAGCATCCGGCGGCACCGCCTTCCCTGGCGGAGCTGCCTCTCGACAGCCGGCTCGGAGGCGGGACCGTCGAAGAGTTCTCGCTACAGTCTCTGTACGAGATCACCGACAACTTTGCCGAGGCGCACAAGATCGGATCCGGTAGCTTCGGCGCGGTCTACCGCGCGACGCTGCCGGGCGGGCGCGAGGTAGCGATCAAGCGCGCCGACGTCCATGCGGCCGCGGCGCCGTCCGCGTCGCGGCGGCACGAGCAACTGCGGCGGTGGAGCGAGGAGCAGCGGGAGCGTGCCTTCCACTCCGAGCTGGCTCTGCTGTCGCGCATCAACCACAGGAACCTGGTCCTGCTGCTGGGCTTCTGCCGGGAGCGCGGGGAGCGCGTGCTGGTGTACGAGTACATGGCCAACGGCACCCTGCACGACCACCTCCACCGGCGGCCGATGGTCCCGTCGTCGCCGCTGAGCTCGTGGGCCGCGCGGCTGCGGCTGGCGCTGGACGCGGCGCGAGGGATCGAATACCTGCACGCCTACGCCGTGCCGGCCATCATCCACCGCGACATCAAGTCCACCAACATCCTGCTCGACGGGGTGTGGACGGCCAAGGTGGCGGACTTCGGGGTGTCGCTGACGAGCCCCGACAACGAAGGGAGCGTCGCCGCCGGCACGGTGGGCTACATGGACCCCGAGTACTACCGGCTGCGGCGGTTGACGGAGAAGAGCGATGTCTACAGTTTCGGGGTGGTGTTGCTCGAGTTGGTGACGGGGTTCAAGGCCATCCACCGGGCCCAGGAGGTGGAAGGTGGGGAAGGCAGCACGACGCCGCGGAACGTGGTGGAGATGGCGGTGCCGTACATCGAGGCGGACGACGTGGCGGTGGTGATGGACAGGAGGGTGCCGCCGGCGTCTGCGGAGGAGCTGGAGGCGGTGGCGTACGTGGCGTACGTGGCGGCGGAATGCGTGCGGGCGGAGGGGCAGGACCGGCCGACCATGGGGGAAGTGGTCGGGGCCCTGGAACGGGCCGTTGCGGCCTGCGCCGACCGGGTCGAGTCCCGGTCCGAGCCGGGCGGCGGACGCAGGGCGTTGTCACGTGCGCCGAGCTTTATGTGAGCTGCGTGATAGAAAACGCAGCACAGATATATCCCACGCATTACTTTTTCTCTTTCTTTTTTGACTAATTTTTCTCGGACTTGCAGCATTTTTGAAAGGGTTATGTGATTAATCATCCCACAAAAACTACATTCTTTCTCATTGGTTCTTATTTTTTTCTTTTATTCTTAATAAAATTAGTGAAAATGTGTCGAAGTTTGGAAAATTAATAATAATAATAAGTGTTAATTATATTTATTATAATTAATATAATATATCATTTTCGATCCTCAATCGGGTTGTACCAATATGATGTTCTTTTCCTCGATCAGAGACCACATCATCTCTGAAACCCTACAGGGGTGACACATCCATCTGCCATGTGGTCACCCAATCCACAATCCATGTGATGTGAATGACCACTCTGTCTTCTACCTTTTGGCCACCCCACCATGAATCAAGTTGGATGCCACAGCCATCAGCACTAGCACTTGTCCTTGTTCACAGCTATATGGTGAGTTGACCAAGTAAGCTTCATGAATTCTACTTGCAACATGATGCGCTAGCAACCACTTTAGAGCAACAAGAAGCTGAAGGTCCAAATCATTTACATCTAATGTATTCCAACTTGCAAATGAAAACACCAACAGAGATGATGATGCCATCAACTGAGCTAAACAACCAAGAACATCAACTTCAGCAGAACAACAAGCTTAAGGTCCCAATTCTCCTCCCAATGAGCTTTGTTGAGGACTACAATCCTGCAAGTGCCATTTATTGTTGACGAAAAGTGACATTCTATACCTTCATAATGCAGCAACAAATCTGAGACTTGAGTCTCCAAATTCTGTGGTAATAGATAGCACTGTGACGATACCGCCTAAAGCTCGATCTTGAAGATGGTCACGTGCTTGAAACGTTGTGCAATGTCGGCGACCGAGCCGATAGCGGCCAACAGAGAAACCACCAGTGCTGCCATGCTTAAGCACTGGAGGATCACCCATGTCCACTCTCCTCTTTTGATCTTGGCCTGTGCCATGTACACTGTCACTGGGTAGTACACCGTCAATGGCCAGAATGCAACTGCTCCTAGCAGTCCCAGAATTGCATTGAAGAATGGTAGCATGAGAGATATCACTGTTGTTATGACGACAAAGACTGTGCGAAAAACGAGCTTGCACGGCGTAAACTGGAGAGCTTGGCCTTTGAGTAAAGGAAGCTGCAATGTGTATACATGGTGGAAGAAAACTGATTCTGGCCACTTCTTAGCAAGCCAGCCCTCATACTTGGCATAGATTGGTTGCCCGTACACCTGAATCGATCCAACGCATGGAGTTAGTAGCCTACACTAATTTGCAAATTCATGGCAATACATACGAATCGATACACTCCAAGTAGATGAAAATTTTCAGTACCTGGTAAGCTCCAATTAAATGAATGAGGACTGCAATGTTAGCTATGTCGACAAGCCAAAAGGGTTCTTGGAATCCAGTGAGGACGTTCCCGGGAGCATCGTTTCCGAAAGCAGCATATCCAATGCAACCAAGTGAAACATAGAAGACTGTTGTTACGCCAATTCCATAAAAGGTAGCTCTCTTCATTGTCTGGTTCTCCGGTGGAGGTGATTTAAGTGTATCCTTATAAATTGTGACAGACACTTGAAAATTGAGTCGCACAAATCATTGCAAAAATGCTTGATGCCAAAAAATAATACTGATATTGCTCAGAAACATAGTACCTGGATTTCTATCAAAAGCATGGCATAAGTGTATGCAAATGATATATTTCCGAGAGCCTGCAAAGAGTGCCAGGCTTTGGTCGATGCAGAAACACTATCAACCCCGACCTTAACTCCGAGAATTGTCCCTCCGATTGAATGGTGTGAAGCAAACTTCATGATGCACAAGAACAACCCGATGAACGAGTAGGCAAACGACATTACTGCAGCCACAACCGATATCAGTGTTATCTTCTCCAAGTTTGGGAACTGTGACAACACTATTTCCAGTATGCCGAATATGATCATGTACAAGGTTCCTGATGAACTACAACTTGCATTATGGCCCTTGTAATGGTAGCAGTTTGAGCGCACAACTGCCCTGTTAATGTCGATCAAAGCTGTTCAATATCCTAAAACCAATAATTCAATAAAAATAATCATATGCAACTAAAAAATCTATCTAAACTTTTCTGCACAAGAAAAGAAAATCACGAATGAATTATCGACTACTTATAAATGAAAACCTACAATATTCAGACATAATGAAACCTAGAAGAGATAATAGCAAATCATCGACCGTCTGTTTTCTTGAATTTACCATGCAAGTGAAACTACTCACATCATGCTTGTTGCAGCTGTGATAGTGTACCCGATCATAGTTCCCCATAGCATCACATATTGTGTAACGCCGCAAATGAATACATCTCTGGGTCCTAAAATAAGTTCCATAAACCATTTAGGAAAAGAAAAAAGAGGAACAGTAAACTTTCAGTGGTTATACCAAATGCATCAACTCATCTTCCTGATAACTACCGAGACATGATCGAACGACATCCATGTATGTGTAGTTCCTCCTGCCCTTCACTGGATCAGGGGTCCTGTAGCAATCAGTGAGTAGAATGGCAGTGTAGTAAGTTACATAGGCACATGCAACAAGAGCAATAGGGCCCATGATCCATCCCATCTGAGCAACACTCCAAGGTAATGCAAGCACTCCAGATCCGATGACTGCGGTAATAGCATGTGTTGTCGCAGTCCACACCGTCCCTAGATAGAATTGTAGAAGATTAGGACAAATGAAATGGTCACAGCGAATGCAGCGAAATCTGAATGTTTTGGTCCTTTAAGATCTCTGTTCCTTTGAGGAAATGTCTTGAAATAATTCGACAAGAAATAATAACTTCATTTTACTATCTTTTTGGTTAAACGAGAAGGACAGGGAGAAATTTGAAGATTTTGATCTCTTTATACTAATCTGTTTTCTTTGTTATTCATTAGAGAATTCCGCAACAACTCCACCAAACAAACTGATCATCCATATTAATTGTATCCATCTCATCTTCACTAACTGGATGGACCCAATGTTCATCCATATTAATAGTGCTTCACCAACCAAATTAGTTCACATGCTTTAATAACCCTAAGACTTTAATGTCACTTCAACAAGTTGGGTCACTAGTTGGGTCCATTTTGATTCCGTTTATTTAGGTAAGTGACCCACAAAGTCTCATTGTCCAATTCCATGTTTAACCATAAGCTGAGAGGCTTGAATTCTGTTGGTATCAGAGAACCCAATAATAGACATCATCTAAGACCGAAACACAATCCGAGCCCAGCTGTGTTGCACCAGCCAATCCACTACATAAGTGCATTCTTAATCTAATATCAAAGTTTCAGGAAAGCGACCATAAACAAATGCCAAGCTAAAGCATCGCATATAAAGGTAAATGATAAGCATTATAAGGCACACTTAAAGGAGCCTATTGGATGATAAAGCAGAGTTGCTGTTAATGGTTGAAGTAGTGAAAAGTGAGTCTATTTTATGCTAAATCACTACTGATCAAACCCCACCATCACTCTCGAATACGATGGATTCCACCAAGCAGACACCATCAGTGATTCAGAAATCATGGACCACCATTTGCACCCACACATCGAATCGTTGCTGGTTTCAGTAAAGCAATTAAATTATGATGCAAAGAAGATTCCTCAGAGGTGGAGGGTCCACTCAAAGCACTTGTGAGTTCCATCAATTTTCTTGGAAAGCTTAGAGGCCTTGAACATTGAGAAATCTGAAGAATCATGGTTGTTGCCTCCAGAATCAAAGCAGGAGCAGCTTCGTATTGACCTGCTTCTCGTGTTAGGATGTTTTGGCATCCTCTGAATTCTTATTTGGTCTTGTGAACTACATGCATGCCAAATTAACTCATGAGCAAAAGTACCTTCTCTTTGTGTTGCTTTGTGCAATAATGAGATCTTGAAAGATATGCAAGCTACAATGCAAAAGGTAGTCTTGAGTGCCAAAGATTAAACACTAGATGGTTCTCAAATCCATGAGCCTTTTGCACTAAAATGATTAGGGTTCATGATGCAATGACCAAATCAAAAGTCTCAAGGGCCCAAAGATCCAGCAATTCATATTCCCAAGTACATGATATATATGACGCAGTCTGTGTTCCATGGTCATGCAATACCTATGTATTCAAGAAAGAAGATAGAAATGGGTAGAAGAAAGGCAGTAAAGAGTCATAGAATCTTTTTGGCAGATGGATAATAACAGGAAGAACGAAGATAGAGACAAAGAGCAGATCGAAACGGAGAATAAATCCATGGTTTCGGCTATTAGCAAGGTTGAACAGATTCATGTCTGTGTTCCGTTGGGCAGCACATAATGAATGAAATCTACAGAACCAACAGAGTTGGCATGCTCGGAGGTAAGAATTAAGGACAGACCAGTTCTAATGCGACCGTCGTCATCCGCCATGTCCATCTCCTCCCTTCTTGCACGAAGAACACAAAACCTCTGCTCTCCTCCTTCAAAGATGGCTGGAAGCGGAAGCAGCACTCTTCGTCCGTCACCTCGAGCTATTTTAAAGAGCACCAGAGAGTGTGTCTGACATGCTTTCAACAATGCGGCCATTCTCTCCCTCGCTCGATCTTGGTGTTGTGGTACACGTGTGAGATGGCTTCTAATGACTGCATGCTGTGGGGTCGGGGAATGGCGTGTCTTAAATGACCCGAGACAGCAACCAGAGAACGGTGGCCCACCGTTCGCTGAGGCCGCAGGAACAAGGCGAGGCGGATTCGAACTGGAAATGGAAAGATAGGGAGGGAACACGGAGATTCCTGCGACGAAGTCATGAATCCTGGAGCTGTGGGTCCCAACATAAAGACGGGTTTTTGCAAGAGGGTAATCACGTTTCCTGCGTTGGGTAGGACAGGTGATCTGCGCTCTTGCTTTCGGCGCCTGCGCTCTCGGATATTGACGAGTCGTCGGTGTACCCGCAAAACGAACACAAAAAAGGAATTGCTTGGCGGCCTAGATCACCCCTGAAACGATTTCACGGGTGACGTGTGAGAACGAGATTCAAAGGTGCTGGGCTAAATCGTCCGTGAAAGTTTCCACGGGTGACATGACCTTTGACGAAAACCTCGAGTGGAATAGAGGTGCACCATTCCCTGCTTGATTAATTCTTTTGCAAATTTATATAAATAATTTCATTAAAATACAAAAATAATAAAATCATATAGATATCAAGCTTAACATAAAATACTAAAATAATATTCCTGTCCATACAGCCAAATGTTTTTTCTAATTCAATTCACTATAAAACTCTAGTAATTAGAATTTGATTTTTCTATAAATATCTTATATATTTCTAGCTTTCTAATATATTCTTTTGATTGTTAATCTTTAATAGATTTCTTTTTTAGTTTTTAGTTTTTCTCTCTCCCACCCCAATAAGTAGTGTAAGAGCCCAAATGTCCGATGGTTAAAGATTAAAAAAATAACAAAGATTAGAAAGAGTGTGAGACAAAAGTATTTTATCTTAAGAAGACACAAAAGTAGATAAAATATTCACTACGAAAGATATAGTTGGAATTTACAAGTATTTTAAGGGCAAGATATAAAAATTAATTTTAGCATTGAGAGTGTTTTTTAGAGAATCTATAGAAAGTACTCTAAGTTTATAAAGAGAATAAAAGAAAAATATCTAATTTTTTAAAATTTATGTATGAGCTTATATAAAGAAGTTATGTTTGAATGAGGATAACTTAAGATTTTGTAATTGATCTTTATGTGATAAAAAAAATTAGTTTTTCTTCATGGATACAAGTAAATTTTATATCAATTTTTTGATATTATTATTTTGATTATCGATATCTGCTGATTGAATGAAGGAGTAAATATGATATAAGTTGAATTAACTCATAACTGGATGAATCTAAGGTTCCGAGTTTAATTGGTGTCCAAGACATCAGCATAACTCGGACTCGTTCATCTTTTATGAGCAATTTATTACAAGTTCACATAAAAAAAAGAAGATTTGTAATTCATAATACGTATGGTGATGGCGAGACTTGAGCTAACTCAATAATAATGCGTGACGTAAACGTCAAACTCGGCAACCGCCGTTGTGGCGGTGGAGCTGACGACCTTGCTCAACGAGAAGCCCCGAGCGAGGCGGAAGCGCCCGCTTCCGCCGACGATGCCGCGCTCTGACACGGCCCCGGCCACGAACCGCCCCAGCAACGCCAGCGTGCTCCCGTTGTACTCCCCCGTCGTGAACACCAGGTTCATCGCCGCCAGCCCGCTCCCGCCGTCGAGCGCCGAGATGGCCCCGATCCCCTGGGCCCTGCCGATGAGCGCCGAGGCGGGGTCGGCCCCCTCCCTGAGGACGTTGTCGTACACCACGATGCTGCCGAATGAGGTGGTCGAGTTCTTCGGGGGCTCCACCGCCGTCACCAGCGTTGCGTTGGGCCCGCTGTCCGTCTCGTGGAAGTAGAAGTGCAGGTGGGTGAACTTGTCATCGGCGGAGGCAGCCACTGCCGAGAGGAGGACGAGAAGGAAGAAGAAGAGGCAGGAGTTGGTCGTAGCTGAGGCCATTGCACTTAGTGGAGACGAGGCAAAGCTACCACATGGCCCATACGCTTTATACTGTTAAGGCATGCCGTATGTTTGTTTTCTTTGGCTGCGGAGAAGCTCACGAAGTCCCGTCAAAGTTGGATTGCGAGAAGAGTCAACAAGAAGAACAAACACTGTTCTTTCTGAGTTAGGTGGTAGAATTGAGACAGGTGAAGAATTGATTGCTGAGCTACCATTACGTCATTCATGGTTTGACTAGTCAAAAGTGAGTAAGTAATTGGGGTTAGGTGGCGTTTATAATCTCTCTCTCTCCCCCACTATATATATATATATATATATATATATATATATATATATATATATAACATTTCAGGTATTAGGTAAAAAATATTATTCGAAAATTCTGAAAATGTGGGCTTCTCTAAGAAAAAAAAAAACAAAAAAGATAGATTTTTTGGAAATTCGGCCCCATATAATATGATATCTTTAAAAGTGGAAAATGATTTTGTGTCCGGCTGTTGAATTGAATATTGTTCTTTGACTTTTACGTGACGCAAGATCAATTTAGCAGGAAAGAACCAAAAAATCTTTCAATGACAGCACAACAACTGCTCAAAGCTGGAAGTAGAAACTCTGAACAAGATGAGAAAGTGATACAGCAAATATTATCCATGGATGATTCTAGTCAATCGAAGACGCAGACTTCTCCGCCATGGCGTGGAATTCACAGAGACGACAAATACTAGTCAAAGATGCAGACTTTGCTGCAGCATCTTCTCCAATTTGATGGCTTAGAACAGCCATATTATTCGTCCAAGACGCATCCACACCACAGCTTACAAGTAGAACTCAACCTAGTAATAATGCTTGACATGAACGTCGAACTCGACGATGTATCCCGTGGACGAAATATTGACGGTTCTGCTGAGCGCGAAGCCCCGTGCAAGGCGGAACAGCCCGCTGCCGCCGACGATGCTCCGGTCATCCGGGCCTGTGACGCCCTCCACCCTCCCGAACAGCGACAGCGTGCTCCCGTTGAGTTCCCCCGCCGTGAACACCAAGTTGATGGCCGTCAGCGCCGACAGGTCCGTGAGGGATGAGCTGGTGGCGAGGCCCTGCGCTCGCCCGATGAGCTTCGAGCTCGGGTCAGCGCTCTCTCGCAGGGCGTTGTCGAACACGTGTATGTCGCCGAAGGTGGAGGAGTTCTTGTGGAGGCTCGCCACGACGATGGATGTCGCGTCGGGGCCACGTACGGTCTCGTGGAAGTAGAAGTGGAGGTGGGTCGTCTTCTGAGCTGCAATTCCGCTGCTGATCATGAAGAGGAAGAGGAATAGGAGAGAAGGAGAAGGATTAGATGGACGAGAAGCCATGAGGAAGGGGTAGGGCGAGAAGAATGGGGTGGAAGGCAGAATACGTCGTCTGGTTTAATAGAGTAGTTTGGCTTCTAACGACGATGGCGTGCATTCGTCGGAAGGCAAAGAGGATTGTTAGAGACTTCAAAATTGGCAGGCAGTTGTTGTCGTATATTTCTTTTAGTGTCTTTGTCTCCAAGAGTTGGTCAGTTGACCGTGACAAATAATGTCAACAAATCTACTCACATTATAAACTGAAGTTGACAAATTACATTTGTTGTCGTATATTAAATTTCCATAAATATTAGGATTTCTTTTTTTTACGGATATTAATACTTGAAATACTCTTAGTCACCTATCAATTTTCTTTTATATCTCTATGGGCCAATCATCCATAAGCTAAATTCGTTATTATACTGCATCACGATGTTTTCGACAAAACGAAAAAACACTATAACATCATATTTTTATTTCAACAATATTTCAACATCATATAATAAGATTGCTCTATTCTATTCCCCTCGTTTAAGAACATAACAGTGGCCTCCGATCAATTCAGACGAAGGAACAGTGTAATGAGCATTTTAGCGAAATTAGATTTGGTCACAGCATGCGATCAGAATATGCGGACATCTTTATCGTTTTCCTCGCTCAAATTGCAGTAGAAATCATCAGTTTTTGTGCTCGGAGTCATCGGGTATCCACTGATCTCCCTGTATGAAGCTTTCCAAAGAGTACGCACCCAAGTGCTCTGCCGGTATCTTGCTGCTCCACGGCACCCTCGCCGTCGCCTTACCGCCGGGCCCCGAGCTCCCAGACTCCCCAAAGTACAGCGTCGGCAGCGCGAAGTCCCCGCTCCACGGCGTCCACCCCTCCGGCCTCACGATCTCCCCCATGGAGCAGTCGATGAACACGGTTCTCGAGTACTCCTTCCATGGCCTCCCCAGGTACGCCAGGTGGACCGCCGGGTTCGACTTGTAGAGTGCGAGGTACTCGTCGCTCCCGTTGACGACGCAGCGGTCGAACACGAAGCCGGTGGACTGGGCGGGGTCGGAGCGGCCGTGCGCGGTGACCGTGTTGGTCTCCCCGTGCTCGGGGTCGAGCTGGCGGGGGACCACGAGGATGCTGCAGTCGCGGAAGATGGCGGCGGCGTTGCCGAAGATGAAATCGACGGTCCCGGAGACGCGGCAGGACTGGTAGAACTGGCGGAGGGAGGAGGCGTATAAGGTGTCCTGGTGGCCCAAGAACTCGACGTGCTCCAGCACCGAGCGGTCGCTGTCGGACCGGTAGGCCACGGCCTGGTGGGCGTCCGGCCCGGCCGTGTTGGCCATCGTCAGGTCCCTCGCCATGAATCCATCGCCCGTCACACCTGTCATCGAAGCAACCCGACATGTCACGTTCTCTTCCATGTGCAGAGAAGTCGAGATCTCGTGAGCTGACACCATTGACATGTACATTGCCTCGCGGTGCATGGCGTTGATCGGGACATATTAAAGGACACGTCGCGAACTATGGCGCGTGCAAATGGAGATAGAAAGAGACGCGAATTATGGTCCTCACCGACGGTGGCGGTGTTGTACGTGGAGACGCCGACCATGTCGGCACTGAGGGAGCCGGTAATGACCGTTTTGCCCATGCCGTCCCCGAAAAATACCAAGTTGGTCTTCTCGAACGGCACTCGAACCGTCTCCTCGTAGACCCCTTCCTTAATGTGGATGACGAACGGCCTCGTCGAGTTCTCCGGCGCCGCGTCCACAGCCGCTTGAACCGACCGGTACCGGCACTCGCTGCGTTTGCACACCGTCGCGTCCGCCGGCGCTCCCGGCCGCGGGAAACTCTTCCGGGCTTTTCCTCCTCCGGACCCGGACCCGGCCGCGGCCGCGTCCGGCCAGTACCCGTCCCGCTCCGTCTGCGGCGGGCCCCAGCGCGAGGTGTCGGGGCCGTAGCGCTGCAGCGCGGCTATCATGGCGGTTGCGCTGGTAGTGAGGTTGGTGAGCCTCTCCAGGAAGGCCATGGCGTCGACCACTATCTGGGTGTCGTTGACCTTCGTAAGGCCGGCCCGGCAGGCGTACTGGTAGAGCTCGGCGGCGCCAGAGAAGGTACGGGAGTCGGCGAGGGCGCCGGCGGGGAGGGCCTTGATAGCTGCGGAAATGCGGTGGTCGGAGAGGGAGAGTAGCTCGAGGCAATTGCGGGCGGCGGTGGAGCGGTTGCGGTCGGATCCGGCGGCGTCGAGGATGGACTGGGCGTTGCTCCGGGCGGTCTGGTGGCCACGGGAGGCGGCGGAAAGAGCGGCGAGGGCGACGTCAGAGCCGGAGGAATCGGGAGGGAGGGAGATAGATAGATGGGAGAGGACGGACTCGCAGACGTCCGGGGAGAGGGCGGCACGGCAAGCCTGGTGGATGGGCGTAGAAGGGGATGTGGCGTTGGCCTTGTGCTTGTGGTGATGGGCGTGAGGGTGGCGGCGATGGGCGGCGGAGGAGGGGGTGGAGAGCAGGAGGACGACAGCGACCAGGAGATGGAGGGCAGAGGAGGAAGCCATCGAGAGAGAAGGAAGAAGGAACGGAAGTATGATAAGAGGGAAGGTAGAGAGGGGGAGACGAAGGTTAGGTCCCCCAAAGGAGATCGTGGTGGAGGAGTCGTCCCGTGCTTGGAGACTCTCCAAGCGTTGCGTCTTGCTTGCTTTGAGGTGAGGGATGGATGTGTCTGTCAACAGAGCGACGACGAGAGGAGGAGAGTTTCTCTCGTTATGTTATTGGTATCGAATCCCACCGACAACGGGGATGTTGACCTGTTGTCAGTCCTTTCCAAAAATAGGTTATTGACCCCCTCTCAACGTGACGGTCAACGTTAGCCAATTTGTCGAAGATTGCCAATTCATTGTTGCTTAATATTAGGATCCACCATTTTGATCGCAAACTCGATATGTCTTAAAATGAAGTGACATCTAAGAAGATCGACCAACAACTCCAACTAACGACGATGTTTGAAGTAGGGAGTCTTGAATGACCCCTGAGATGACCCGTGTCCGACAATGATTTGACTATTTAATCACGTGTCTCACATGTGCGATGATATAAATGATCGAATGTATCACGTGCACTTATTTATTGATGAATTAATTGAAAGAAAAAGGATCCATTCACTGTTTCAAAATGCATCTAATCCAACACCTAATCCTTTGCCCTACGAAAAGAAATCATCATAATGAAAAGAGTGGCAGCCTCTTTCGTTATCAAATCTTATCTGATATATTTTTTTAAAAAATATTAATTAATTTAATTAATAAAATATTTAATAATTTATTATAAGATTCTATGCTTGAATTTTGTTTTCGTCGAAAAAGATTAAAGAGAGACCTCACAAGCAAAAGAAAAATCCAAAGTTCAATAACAAAAACATATATCAAAAATAAATAAATAATAATAAAAATATATCAAAAATCGATTTGACATGGTTCAATAATTTCTTATTTATATTTATAGAGAAAATTAAATTATCATCGATGTCTATCCCTAGCCAAAAACATGAAAGTGATGATGTAATGATAAGAAATAAATTTTAATTCTCTGAGGATTAATTTTCTATTTGAATTCCTAGTCTAAATCGAAATCCTAATCCTACAATAAATTTGAATCTAATTAATACTCTTCCTAAGTGTTAATATACAATTAAAACTCCATCAAAATCCTTATCCAAACTTACCGATCCTTCCTCATGAACTAGTCGAAGTGTCACAAACAGCCAAACAGTTGTGCTGTGAACTCTCAGGGAATTGTTATGTTTATGTCTTCTAGAATTCTAGTTCGGATGGAATCCTTTTCACCAATATAATCTAAAAATTTGAACTACTTAGCAATGTGAATGAAACTAATTTTCACTATCTCTCACACATCCAGGGCTATTCTTTTGATATCTCTTACACATAAATATTTTTTAACAATATGTTCTTCGATTCAATTATCAGACCCCTATCCGTAAGAAAAAGTAAAAAATATGACTAGACCTATGTTCTTTGTCACCTAGTTATGATCAATTCTAACCCTTTTATTATTCTTTTGAGATGTTTAAGATTATTGAGCCTAGATCAAATTGACTAGGATAACATAATATAATATTTGTCACTAATTAATATAAAATTTTACATTTATTAAATTATGAACCAAATCCAATATATGCGATTCGACTCTATTAATCCATTGATACAAAATTATTTTGTGAAATTTTAATTTCTCTCATATATGAATATTCGTATTAACACAAGAATCCTACTGGGATTTATGAGGCCCATGAAACAACGAGGGCCATTATACCCTGCTTACGATCTACATCATCTCTTCTCTATTTAGCTTTCCAGAGTATTGAGCCTTGTATAAGTAGTGGTAGAATGTACTTACTAGTCCCTCTGAGAGAGAGAGAGAGAGAGAGAGAGGTTTTGCAATGTTCAAATATGCACTGCAACCCCAAGACTTGGTAGAAAGCACAGTTCCATATAACATATGCCTCATAGGGTTTATAACTATAATTCTTATATTTATGGATCATCTTTCATTGTTTCCATGAACAAGTTGTCAGTATAAATGCCCTTCAAAAGTGTGCCTGAAAATGGCCTGTAGATAAGACATAATCTTAAAATATATTCCTAATAGACAAAAAAGAACACATACATTACCAGTATTTATGTACACAAAATACATTTATGCTGCAACAGTGATATCTTTGCTTTAGCATAAGAGCTTTGAAGGCAAGCGCTGTGTTCCTCCTATTCTTGAGGATATCATTAATCTTAGGGAAAGAGGCGTTAAAAGTATACTTCCAAGTTTTAGGTAGGCTAATAGTGTGGCAGCTGAAGCAGTTGATGTGAGAGTTATGAAGTCATATTTCCTGTACTTTCTCTCATTAGGAAAAGACTTATTTCAGATACATTTTTCATGAAATATTGCAAAAAAATTTCAGATACATATGTGTGTGTGTGTGTGTTTTGTGAAAGAGAAAGAAAATCTTGGAGAATTCCTTTCGTCCTAATATCAGAGAAGATTTGATGTATAACATCTTATTCGAATAATATTCCCATTAAGATTTGATGTTGACATGATAAACATCATTAGCCTATTGGTGGTAGCTTGTGATGTTGCTAATTACCTTAAAAACATTGATGATGATATTTATTCTAATTACAGAATAACAATGTCTCTTATAATCACAGATTAAACATGTTAGTATGATGATCATGTTCATTGATAGAGTTTTGTAGGGACATAAAAAAGAAGAAAAAAGAATAAAGAAGAGACATTGTGAACCCTAAGAATGATGATAAGCTTTAAAAGTTGTACAGTGTACCTGGGAATCTTAACCCTTACTCTTCTTCCCCTTGTTGGATTCATTGCTGCTGTCATCAGCCATTTGTCCCATTGCCACCCTCAAATTACCTCTCTTTTTCCTTACTTCCAATAATTAGGCGAGTTGAAAGCTACACTAATCAGAAACTCCATTCTTTCAGGAACTCTATGGGAACATTAAATTCGATGCGTGCGTGTTTTCCTTCCCCTCCCCTTTCACCATCAAATACCTACTTCACTTCTTTTTCCTCTCCTGTGGTGAGATTTTGTCCAATCCACCTTGGAACTTGTCTTTCCTTTACTAGTAAAGAATGTGACAAAGTGGAAGACTTGAGGCAGCTCTTTTTTACCAACATCTCTCTCTCTCTCTCTCTCACACATTTGAACACACCATGTTGAACAACCATGAAGGTTTCTCGCATTGCAAACCAATCCTAATGCATGTAAGCATATGTAATATATCAGAGGGATGAGTAGAGAGGGAGGGAGGGTGAAGAAGAAATGTCGGGGGAGGTTTTCCACTCCAACATTGTCAGATCAGATGAATGATTTCTTGCTGAACACACTGTTGGAGCATCCACCTCTTTGCCTAGACTATGGACCATGCCTAGGCCTCGAATGCACGTTCTTGGAAATTATTCTGACATGATCTTATCTTCCCTTTATTCTTCAGTGTGAATGGCTTGCATTCCATGATCTCCTCTTTATATCCTCTCTCTCTCTCTAAATCTCTGAGTGCGTGTGTGTGGAAGATTAGGGCAAGCAGAGATATGCATGCACCCAATATAAAGCTAAGACACTGCTTTAGTGTTCAATGAAGAAGACATAGACTTGCTACCTAACCCTAATGTTCAATGAAGGAAGAAAAGAATGATTCAGTCAAATGGTTTCAGAACAAAACCCATGAACAACTAGAATACAGTTTCTTTATTTTCATATTCCAAATCATGTCAAGTTTACTGACTTGCCGGGCTATGTGCATGAAAGATTAGGGTTTTATTGGCATATTTAGATGCATGTAGAGTTTCTACAGCTTCAGGAAGCACTCTATCACAAGCTGTAAATCCTAGCAATTAAGCTGAGACTGTGGCATGAACATACATACATATATATATATATATATATACCAGTTTAGTTTGTAGAATTTCATGATGATCCTATTTACTTAGTTGTTTTCACTGTTTAATTGCGTTAGATTTTGATATTAAACCTTATCTAATTCTAAGCTACAGAAATATACTTTTTCTTTTCATCCTGGCTAGTGTTATCTACACTACTTACTACACTATTGCATGAATCTATTGACTTTTGCTGCATTAGTTTATGGTAACTTGACCTAACCTAAGACACAAGTAAGCTTTGCATACATAAGAGTGTGCCACAGTATCAACTTAAGCTTGAAGTTGTGACTTCCAAGACATTGAATTGGATGTCTAACTCGTGATAATGAAGCTTGCAAAATGCCGTGAGTTGCTGCTATAAATGATGTCACATTTCTTCTCCTAGTCATTACTTCTTTCTCTCATGGATGATGCTATAACATCAATCCAATAATATTCTTATTGTCAAAGATTCTTTCTCTCTGACATTACAAAAGGTTTATTTCCATAAACAAGACAGTATTTATCCATGTAGTCAGCTAATAACTTGGGGCTATGCTTTCAAAAGATCAGGTTGATCATAGCATTTTAATTAATTAATTATATATATTTTCATAATCATCCTTATAATTGATAGAAAAACTATGCAAATGTGACACATCAACCAAAATCTCAATAGAAAATATTCTCTAAATATTTTTATGTGCAAGAAATATTTTTCTAATCGCTTATGGTTAGTGAAGATCGATTATAAACGACGAACATAAACGCTGTTAATGAGGCTTGACCTTTTCTGCTTTTCATAATTTAATCTATTTTAAAAGATTAATTTAAACATCGAAGGAATGGTATCGAGAATCCCAATCCCACTCGATATTGATCTCACAAGTCAAATTTAAGCCAAGTCGAACTCGTCAACGACTTTGAGTCTGCCACCACCGACATCAACATCAGCCACTGTCAATAATTGTCAGTCTCAATCATGCTGAGCAATTCGAATGGTGAGCTCACGGAAAGATCGTTGTTGACATTAATTGCTTTAGTTCAATTGCTTGTTTTGTCAAGGATGATCTACTTGTACTGCTGCTAATGCAAGTATTGCTGCAATGCCATTTGATATTAATGCCAGTACTATACAATTTACTTGTACTTGTGCAGTAAAAATCTCATTGATGATTGATGAGATGTCTCGAGCATTTCTGAAAAGAAAATAAAAAGAATGTCTTTAAAGAGAATAATTTTGTCATAAGAACAAAAAAAAAAAGCTAGAAGAGCTGTTGGCTTTATGATAAGGTCCTTTATATTGGCAGAATCTATGGTGTCGAATTGGAATTATAATGCACAAACAAACATTAGGAATTGTTTCCTGGATTCAGATTATGTATACTACAATACTCTTTGATGGCCTAAAGCAGTATTAGTTGTCATTGAAATCGAACACTGAGTGCTAAATCTCTCAATTAGTCTGTATCGATCTGTAATCTTCACACTCCACAGGAACATTTCCCAACAGAATGCATTGCCCAACAGAACGAAAAAGGTCTATGCATTTGACCCAATGCAGCTGATGCCACATAATATATAGAAAGATACCTTGGCATTAATTGCTTGCATTCGTCATTGATGGAAAAGAAGAATTTGAGAGAGAGAGAGAGAGAGAGAGAGAGAGAGAGAG